ATATCATCATTTGGTATTTCATCTTGATTCTCCTCATCAAATGCATTACCTGTTTCTTCTCTATTAATATTTTGTGAATCAGTTTCAAGTATTTTAATTATTTCTATTATTAATCGTGAATGTAAACTGCTTGTCACATATTTACTTCCTCCTAATTCCGTTGTTGCATCTGCAAATGTAGATAATACCTCTATTATATCGGCAAGAAAATCCCATTCCTCATCTGTAATCATTATTTGCTTTAATTTTTTAGCATCTTTTTTTGTATCTAAATCTGTACTAATTGAAAGAGTATTAGATAAAAGTTTAATCCATTCTTTCAAATATATTAAATGTGACCAGGCAAGATAACTTGAATTTTAACAAGTGGCCACGTCATTAACTAATCGAAGATATTTAGCTGTATCTTTGGCACTCTAAAAAAATTAAAATTTAATATTATAATTATATATAAGAATTTATAAATTATTATTAAAACTTACAATTTGTTCATTGGATTCTAAATTTTCATCTTTATTTGCATTTGGATATTTTTTTTGAATATCTTCTAGGCATTCAGATTGTTTGGGACGCATAAAAAAATCAATTAATCTTTTTACTCGTAAAATTAATAGTTTTGCTGGGATTAGCCCTTTTCCAATTATTAGTTGTAAAGTGTGCGTCCCACATGCTTGCCATTTAATTGAATTCATATCCGAAATGGCTTTTTTCATATTGGCAGCATTATCAGTGGTGATTACAAAGACTTTTTCTCGTAATTTCCACTCCTCTAATATTTCTTCTAAACTTTCTGCAATATGCTGAGCCATGTGAGGATAACGAATATGATTAACTGTTAAGGTAATTTCATTAAGTACAAAATTGGAATCAATATAGTAGGTGCAAGTTACTCCAATATAACCTTGCCCATTTTTCGCGGTCTACATATCTGTGGTTAATGATACACTCTTTGTTTCCACCCTAATTTTTTCAATTAATATTGGCAATGTGGATTTATAGGATTTTGTAAATAATTCTCTTAATTCCTTTTTCATCTGGAATTATAAAAGCTGGATCTAATTCATTAATCAATTTACGAAATGAAAGACTTTGTACTACGTATAATGGTTGAAGATCTTCAGTTATCCAGTTGGTCAAAAATTGGCGAAGTTTACGTTGCCGACTTTCTTTATGCTTATTAGTATGAACAATAGATGTAATTGTTGACTGATTTTTCTATATTATAATAAGATTATTAATTAGTTTTAACAGCACATAATCCACATATAATAAAAGATTAAGAAAAATACCAACATTCTTCATTCTATCATCCTTTGTTATATCATGTTCTGATGATAAATGATTAATCGCGTTACTGGTTGAACCATTATTAACATAAATAGCTCAACATTTTTTTCCATCCGCACTTAAAACTTTACACCTCTTAAGTGGTTCTCCTTTATCACTTGTTTATTCATTAATATCTACTTCTTCAAAATATTTCCACGTCCAACTTGATTTTTTTCAACTACTTTTTGCTTTCTTTGATTGCGGCACTTCTTCAGAACTTGAAGGACAAGAATGATCTTGCCTTATATCAGTGATATCACTCATAATTATAAAGAATTAACGATGTATATGATAATATATTAATATAAAACGTAATATAAAATTAATAAAAAAAAAATTTAAAAAAAAATATTTTTTTTTTTTTTTTTTTTTTTTTTTTTTTTTTTTTTTTTTTTTTTTGATTTCTGATGATCTGATCATTCTGAATTTCTGATGATTCTGATCTATCAGGTTATAGACAATTAGACAAACACATCACAATGATCACATATTCACATGAAAATTCTCCAACCCGTTTAGCTAACCCATTTAAACCGTTAACCTGATAATCCGTTACAAAACTGATACCTGATATTATTTGGCGGATTAAACTGGTTGTACCCGATAGTCAATTTTCAAACCCGGGTTGAACCTGTTAGTTAAAATTTAAAACTGTCAACCCGATATTAATGGATATCCGTTATAACCCGTTAATAACAGTTTACAGGTCTGAACACTAAATTTTGGACTCTGTAATTAATTTCGTATTACGAAAATATTTGGCCAGAATTAGCCTTAATTTTGGCTGATTTATATATAAAACTTTAACAAATAATAACTCAGCACCAAGTGATCCGTTTTGGATGATCTTACTACCATTTGATTCGTCTTGATAAGACGATTCTAATGGTAGTAAGATCATTTAAATCCAATCACTAGATCGCGCTCTGATACCAATAACTTTTAAATATTTATAGCGTAATAGTTCTGCCAATTTTAATGCTAGAAAGATGATCTTATCTCCATTAGAATCATCTTGTCATGATAAATCGAATGGTGGTAAATTCATTCAAATCTAATCACTAGATCATGCTTTGACCCCAAAATTCATTAAATGTTTATAGTAATTTTACTCCATCAATATCGGTGCTATAGAAATGAACCACATATCATTAGATTCGTCTCGATAAGACGAATCGAATAATAGTAAGATTATCAAAATCTGATCACTAGATCCTAATATTCGCAATTTCGCACTATTATGCAAATTTTGGAATTTTGGAATATGTAATTATGTAATTAATTATGATTTCGTAATTTCAGATTTCAGATTTGCCAATTGAATTTCGGAAACAACTATATATATAATCACAACTCCCTTATAAGTACATTTACATTAATCCCAAGTTACTAATAAACTTATTAAAAAAACTTTCCTTTTAATCACATTATATATAATTTTTATAATCATACCATTTTTTTTAGTTCTAAAGGATATGATTATAAGGAATGATAGCTGTACTTTCTTTCTAATATCTTCTTTAACTTCTGACAAAAAATGGGTTTTTTTCTATACATCAGTATAACTTAATTGGTCTCCATACTTTTGAATTTTCGCTCAGAAACTGAAAATACTATACAGTCAACCCCCTATACAGTTACATCCCTCAGGACCAAAAAAAATTGGTGTGATTATAAAAATACTATATGGCGTGACTAAAGAGGGGTTTATTCTAATAAGTTTATTAGTAACTGGGACAATGTAAATGTGCTTATAAGGGGGGATGTGACTATAGAGAGGGTGACTATAGAGGGGGCTGACTGTACTTTCATATACACCTTGCTTTAAAAATCTAATTTCTAATATTCTTATATATTTATTGGCAGTTAGATAATGTTTTTTGATTTGAAATAACTTTTGTCCAGCTTGAATTTCTGTAAAATAACAGGAATACTACCTTTAGCATTTATTGCAACTGATATTACATTAGTTGATCATCCTTCTGCCATTGACCAATCTTTTAAAAGATCTCATGCTGAAATAATATTTGCACCTGCAAGGTCTGCTGGACATTTGAAAAAGAAACACCTACCTCTATTATAGCTTCTGCATTGGCTTCACAAATAGCCCAATATTAACACCTATACTTGAATTATCAAGTATATTTTGTAACTCACAGTTTTTGTTATCAACCTCTTTATAATATCATTGTCATGCTTCTCCTTTTATAGCCTGATCTAATATATTTACAATCCTGATATTATTATTTATATTTGCTAAATTGATATATATTACAAATTGGTCTACAAAGTCTTTATGATTTTGTTTATCGCCATGGAATTCAGGTATTACGAATCTCACAAGTAAAGCCATGTTTATTTGATTTGATGCATTATTCTGTAGTACTAAAATTTGTGTTTGCAAATTTAAAATATTCTGCCAAGCATCACAGATTTTATTTTTCCATTTCTCATATTGCTCATAAAGCCTATTCTGATTATACTTTAATAAACCTATATCTTCTCTACTTTACTATAGATGGTGGGTATTTCGCTAATACAATATTTGTAGGGCAAAATTTTCCTATAGTAATACACCAATACAAGTTCGCTTTTCTGTTATATTGTTTAACATTCTATTTACTTAATTTTACGCATTAATCTATAACTGCTAAAGATTACCAATAACTCTATCTATTGCTCCTTCAACAAGATCTTTCCATATAATAGTAAGATCTCACTCAGCTTTTGCATCATAAGTTCATAATGCCTTCTTTACTTACGGACTAAATCCTGATGCAAATTATTTTCTTTTTGGCATATTTGCTTTATTGTCCTTTTTATTTGATTTGCTAAGATTTCTCTACCTATTGTTGGATTATCTACATAACCCTTTATAGCATTTACTAGCTCTGTAATTGTGGCCATATTATTTCCATGATAAGATAGTTTTAATTCTATATCGCAAATTTTTAACCTGCTTCTTGGATTCTACCAACTACTTTTTTAAGGTAAAGATATACTTTTCTTTATTTTGCACATCCTTTCTAGCTTGATATGGCTGACTTTTTAGGCTGGATATTTCAGATTTCAACTCTACTATCTTTTCTTCTAAAGCATTTTGAAGATACTCTATTTCTTTATTGAGATTTTAGATTTCCTATTCATATCGAACATAATTCCATTTTAGTTAATTAATTTATCTTTCATTCTGGCGGTTAGTATTAACTTCTGTCTGCAATTCACTACAAAGATGATAGTTCTTCCCCTTCAGCTCAGCTTTATATTCTTCACATGTTCTTCTCTACCTTGGATGAGGTCTGTAGAATGGTATTTTTTTTTTTTCATGATTATAAAAGAGAATGGGAGAATCTTTGATTTATATTGATTCTCAGAAAGTGTATGATCTTGACCAGGATCTTACTTTGCAGAAGTACAAGGAAAAAAGTACCCCCAACTAATGAGAAGAATCTGACTTCATGAATGCCAGCTTTTTTTCCACCTTTTGCAGTTATATCTTCAGATCCTCATTTTCACATCGCAATTTTTTATTTGTACTAATCTACTCTCTATATTCCTTTTCTATGTCTTGCATAAATTTTTTGAAAGTTCTTTTATTATAATCAAGCAGGTGCTGGTGAAATACTTTAAGTTCATTCATAACCTGGCAGTTATTTTCTTTCTCATAATCATTAGTTTGGATTCCACTTTACTTCGCCATATTTTTCTAAGAATGTTTTACATTCTTTTACTGGAAAACTGGTATAATACATGACAGATATGATATGACTAGTAACAATATCTTGAAAATGTTCATAAATTTCTATAGTTTTAAATTTATCGGCAAAAGTGGTGGGGCGAAATGGTGGAGTAGTTCTATTGTCAGAAATTTTGGTAATAGTAATATCCTGAGATATTGTGAAAGAAAAAAAAACTGGAGAATTATTTTAATATAAAACATATACAAGCATTAGTACAGTATACAGACATTGCGTCATCATTGCGCATGTTGATTATCAGTAATTGATCATCACTACTCTGAACTGAGAAAATGACCGAACATTGGTCTAGTGCTGAAATTTCTTTATCCCTAACAATATCATTCTCAAGATATTATAAGCAAGATTCCTATATTTGCCAAGAGAGATTCTGGAGCTTTAGTTGATTCTGAGCTCAACATATTGGGACTTTTCTCTCAACTAGATTTGAAAAAAAATATACTGACCTCATTTTATAGCACTATTAAAATTTCGCGAAAGACAACATTTTCCAGATTTCCACTAGCAATTACACACTGCATTTCGTCATTCCATCAATCCTCTTGCAAATCGATAAAAATGACGAAGAATGAGCATACACATTCCCAAATCTCATATGCGAAATAATGATTGCTAGAAAAAATAGCCATACCCGAATATTGTTTTGTTTATGATAGTAGCGTGCCTGGAGACGTCAAAAAAAATAATGCGAATATATGTGATTTGCACATTGCACAGCCCCTGTTTTTTCAGCAAGAGTTTTACCAATATCATTCAGGATCGTTTACATGATTTAACTCTACTAGAAAATTTACCCCAGCATCACCCCAAGATTTCTAAGTAAAATTCCACTCCCACGTGACCAGTGATGTTTAAGGGAGCGTGAAAAAAACTTTTTTCACCACTAAAAATTTTCTAAGTCCCCAGAATACTTATGAAAAAATGAAAACGGTGAGGTGTGACGCGGGGTGACATTTTATGCAGGTCACGTGGAGGTGAAAAATCTTGGGGGAAGATCTACTAGAAATTGCGCAATAATCTGGCACAGTAATCTGGCGTAGTGGACATAAAATGGGCCGGTCAAGATATATTAGCTTGTCACAATGTCATATGAGTTGTGGCACAGTAAACATTTCTTACGATGCGAAAAAAAATAATTGCAATTTAGCTAGCAGTTAATAATTTTATTTTTCTTAACTCCAATACATTAATTTATCATATAGAATTACATTATTTATGAAAGTAAGTATAGAGAAGAAAAAGAAAGATATTCTTGTGACGTTTGTAAATAATTAGTGTTATTTTTTTTACAATAAAATGATCACACGAGAACCACCTATAAAACATAAAATATTTTTCACAAGGCACCAGTGAACCTCTAAATTCGTATAAACTTGGTTTGATAATATTTGCTTCTTATATAATTCTCCGCTTTCCGAATATCACTCGAGCTTTTGAAGTACATCCAGGTTAGATCACGTTCGCGGTACCACCAACCGAATAAACCAATATCATAAAAAAACCTCATCATTTCTTTAGTCTTCCAATTAGAGATTTCTCCACCAGATAATTGGAGAATTTTCATTTTATTGAATCCGTAATATAATATCTCGGGGCCGTATCCATATGTGATAATCTTATAGTATGGATTCAGAGATGTGAAAGCTGGATTACTCACATTATTAGGATCAAATAATTTGGAAGATAAACCTAAAGTATTTTTTTCGCATAATAGCTCAAGTGAATCAGCTATAACGCGAATAATATCCGTAACGAAAAATATAGTTTTAAAGAACAACAAAACAAAAAAAAACAAACAAGTGAATCATGATGAAGGCTTATACCAGTGTTCCAGAAATAAATTTCGACCATCCACCTAAATCGACTGCGGTCTCCAATACAGGCTTGTAATCAGCATCACCAGTGATGAGTGCCAAAGTAGCAGGCACATTGTTAAAAAGGACTTGATCCCGATTTGCATATCGACCATTTTTTCAAAGCCTTGATCATTTCGAGGAAACGTTTTCACATGGAATCCTTCGGCTCGGACAAGATCCCATAAAGAATCGGCTGGTGGAACGGATCCAACAACAATTGGATCACTGCCCAATGTACGACCATTTTGAATTCTTTCGTGGTCAAACGAACCCATATTTTCATATTCAGCGACTACATACTTCCCTTCGATGTATAAATTCGAATCGTCAACAAAAATGTATAAGTTTTCCTTGGAACCGGACAAAGTCCTTACTATAAGAAAAGGTCTCCGTATTAAGATTATAACACGACGCAAACAAGAATAAAAGAGTGACTATGCCTAAACGCGTTCACTCGCGTTGACCAAATTTATTATGACTTCACTTACCAGTGGTACCGGGTTGATCTGCGATAACGTAAATGTGTTTTTTGGGCGGGTTTGACGATAAAAAGCAGGAAAGAAAAACACAAGAATAAGTAAGCATTCGGTATTATTGGCGAATATGACATGGTGTGAGCGAGAATGAGTTTCACTTAAGTTGTACGATAATATGTGCATGTTGTAGATTTTGCTGAGTGACAAATTCATTGTTAGACATCGAAATTGTTGGCAGTTCTACACCACCAAGTTCGCCTCTGATATTAATATTAACATTTGTGCATTTATTAATGAGATCTAGTTTTTGTTCCTCATTGATACCGATAAGGGGAAAATCAACCCTCCATAACTTGACTTCTTTGGTTGCAACGTTAAGTTTCTGACTCGTTATGATAGCATCCTTAAGTAACCCTATAGTCTGGATTTTACTAGTATCAAGATAAAGCTGAAAAATTTTTTCGAAGGGATCCTCGCCTAACACAAATCAATTTAGAATATAAGACATGATTTATTTATAAAATTTCGTACTGCAAAAGAAGAAAAAAAATGGGGTATATATTTAAGCAAATTGAATCTGTCTGTTGATCCAATTTTTCCGATGCACAAAAAATTTTGGCAGCACTATAATTGAGTCACTGAAATGATCGGCAAAATGATCGGCGATAATGTGATCGTGATTTGAATAACGCGAACGCGACAGTCACGTGAACGGTGACGGTTAAAACGGCACATCCCGTTTTAGTTATTGAAGTGTATGAAAAAAGGGATGCTACTTATTGATGATGCACGAAAATTATTTCTTACATGTATCTTATATTAGAATAGTTCTTTTGTATTTATACCCTATCAATGTATAGATCTCTGATCACTTCTCTTTATGAAACTATATTCAGTAGAAATTGTCCCAATTGGTGGACTAGAATCACGTTTTACAATATTGCATATAAAAGATCGGTCACAATTTGACATCACAGGTGAAAATCTTTATGGTACTTTATTAATATATGAAAAAAAAATGAGATTAAATGATGACACAATTGTGAACTTGACTTTAATGCTTGAAGTATTGCAGGTAAAACAATATTCCAGCTTATCTTGGAAATACAGTCGCACCTCCATAAGTGCACGCACCTGGGGCCCGACTATGCACATGCAGTTAGGGAGGGTGTGCACTTAAAGAACAGCCAATAGAAAAATCAATATTAGTAGTTTGAGGGAATATTTGTTAATTCACTTTTATTTTATATTTTCATTTTAATGAAAGAATTGCATGATCTGTGGTGTAAAATAATTTAATAAAATTAAAAAGATTGAAAAATATTTTTTATTAAATTGTCAAATTTATCTATTTTAAAGAACCAAACAGCTATCGATGATTGGTCAATATTATATAGTTATCACGTGAATGCATTTATGGAGAGTGTTTTGTTATACCCGGAATTCAGAATTACATGCACGTGTAGAACATAGAGAGTGTGCACTTAGCTCTAAGTCCTAACTTGGGGCCAAGCCATGGCGTGCATATAGCAGCGCACAAAAAGTTTTTAGAAAAATTCCAGAAATCTTCTGAAAAATACTGAAATCTGCAGTAAAATGTCCGAAATCATTCAAGATTTAAAAAATTTTACCAGATTTTTCAAAAACCTTTTGGAAAATCTGGCAAAATTTGAATAGATTTTGTGCGCTGGCATATAGGGAGGAAATGCACTTATAGAGGGTGCACTTATAGAGGTGCGACTGTACAACTTTGCTAATTCAGGATCATAAGGAAGCTGGTTTCCATTTTTGTGATACTATGAACCATGTAATCTATAATTGCAAATAGGACATGGTGAACTCTACAGTTGAGGTAATGCAAAATTATAATTATCAATCCCTCTAAAGTTATTTCTGGCTTCGAAAGTGATAGACTTGAAATTAGAGGCTTGAGATTTTTCTGATATACTATTATGACTTCTGATAATTGCCATAGCTTATTTTCAGTTTCTTTTTTATATCTTTTATATAAATTGGAATGAATATTATCTATCAAAATGCTTGGTAACCCACTTAATTTGGCATTCCAATTCAAATATTCAGCAGTTAGTATTTTATCAGACTTGATTATTTTCCTTTTATATGACTGCAAACAATTTAAATCCTTTTTTGCTTATCAATTCAAAAAAAGATTAAAAATTTTCAGATAGAAAGCTGTCTAATATTTCTTATTATACTTCCAAAAAAATAGTTAGATGACTTAAATCATATCTCATGCTCATAGAGCAGGAAGGACTATGCAGTTATCTCAATTTCATGCTGTTCATATTTAATAAAGTAAGATCTGGCTTTATACTTACCTTCTATTTCTTTATCATTATGACTTAAATTGCATAAGGGCAGATAGTCTTTCTTGAGATTCTACATGATGTCTCATCAATAATTCCATAATAATCAAAATTTTCACTACTACATTCTCTATATAGACTAGGATATTGATCTAATATCTTTTTGTGAAAATAGGATCAGTCATAAGTTGGTTTAATTTTATTTGCTTAAAGTGTAACTGATAAAATCATTTCTGGTGAAATATTTATCTTGATTTCTTTTTTATTAGATGAAGATCAGCATTTAATGTAATAAAAACCTTTTATGCGTCGGTCAACTATCTTTTCTTTATCATGCTCTTTTTTACATTCAGAGTATAAGCCAAAATTTTTAAATTCATACTTATCATTATGTCTGTCACTATTGAACAAGAATAGGTAGAGATATTCTTTCAAGGTTACATTAATGTAGAAAGCACGAGTATTATATGAAATGACCAGCATATTTTTATTTGGTTAAGAGAATACTAGTACTTCAGCTGGTGTAGTTTGAAATACATTTATGATTTTTTCACTAGTCATACAATCCAAGCTTAACGGTGCAGTAGTAATCATTTCTAAAGTTACACTATGTAGTAAGATAATTTTTAATAATATCAATTTGCATATTAGTTAACTTTGAAAGTTTATTTACACTAAAAGATTTGATTTACATAATCTTATCTTTTCTAATTTTGCTAAATAATATATATATAAGCTTAGTTAGTTGGTGTTTTTTTTGCGCAAATTTACATGAGAAACTCCTGAAAGATACTGTAGCATTTCATCATAAATCTGCCCACTTGCAAGTTTATAGGCTTTTTTGTTCATAATAAGTCTATTCTTTAGAGTTCCAGGTAAAATCTCACTGTGTTTTTTTTCAAAATACTTTCTATAACAATACCAGCTCATGATTTTGTCTTATTTAGCTTATATAATCCTAATTTTAGCAAATTTCATTCTTTTATATACAGTAGCTTCCAAAAGTAACGTAACTATACTTTTCATCAAAATGACAAAATACTAATTAAATTTATTTTAACAGACGTAATTAAAGTTCCAAATGGGTTAGGTTAGGTTAGGTAAATTGATAAACCTGACCTGAAATTTTTTTTCAGGTCAGGTCAAATCAGATCATATCAGGTTATCTATTTGACCTGGCCTGAACTGAAACCTGAAAATTTTCAGGATTTATATTAAAAATATCAAAAAAAATGGTGCAAAACATTTTTTTTGAAATATTGCGATTCAGTTTTTTATATTAAAATCATATAAAAAGGTGAATTGCAATACCGCAACCTTTTTAAATATAAAATAAATATAAAAAAGTGAATTCTGATACTGCAATTTACTTTTTATATATAAAATCAATATAAAAAAGTGAATTCTGATATTGCAATTCAACTTTTATATATAAAAAAGTGAATTATAATACCATAAACTCACTTATTATATAAAATCATAGTTTCAGGTCAACAGGTCATTCAGGTTATATTGATGTTACAACCTGAACTGATGCTGAATTGCAATTGCTAAACCTGACCTGAAAAATTCAGGTCAACCTGTCAGGTTATCTGAATTTGGTCAACCTGTTTGGAACTCTAGACGTATATAATTCATAGTAATTTTATAATAAATAGTAAATTAGTCTGTTCGCTAAAATACGACGTAATTAATTAGCGAAGAAATATAAACGCAACACCTGTATTGCTGATCATTAATCATGCATTACTTTATCATATGATATCTGATTAAAATAAAATTTGGTTTATAATTAGCTTATTATATGACCTTACAAAATATACAAAATTTATATATTTTTAATTAATTAGATTATTTAAAAATTATGTAATTTTAATAAAATTTAGTATTGCGTTGCTTATGGCACTTTTTACAATATAAATTTTATTGAATAAAAAATCATATAAACTTTACTAAAAATGGCCAATTTTTTGAAATGATTTTGTAATAATTTTAAAATACTACAAAAATACATTTAATACATCAAAATGTTTTTATTATACTTTTGTTATTATTTTGTAATTATATTGTATTTAGGTCTATAAAAATAACTCAAAATAATATCACAATAATTTTTTTAATGTATTATAATATAATTAACTTTGATATTATTTTAATATTTTAATCTCAAAAATACCTCAAATATATCTTGATATATTTTAAAAATTTTACAAAATAATTGCACAATTGTTTTGAAATCCATTGTATTTAGTTCTATAAAAATATTTCAAAAAATTGGCCATTTTTAGTAAAGAAGCTATATAAAAATTATATAAAATCATATAAACTTATATAAAAATATAAAAAAATAATTATAATAAAAAAAATAGTCACCATCATATGTAATTCCCTTTTGTTTTTAATATATTATTAATTCTTTGCGACATAGTTTCAATAAAATTTGTATATACCTCCAAAGGGATTTCATTCTATAACTCAGTAATATATTCCCCAAAGTTGTTCTTTACCCCTAATTTCAACATTTAACAACCTAAGCTTTCGATCTATATCATTCCATAGATGTTCGATCAGGTTTAAATCTAAAGATTGTGTAGGCTAAGATAATACCTGACTGTTATTATCAGAAACTACTTTCAAGTTAGTTTTGCAGTATGCTTCAGGTCATTATCTTGTTGAAAGATAATGTCCTGAGCATTTAATTCATAAAATTCCAACGTATTTAAAAATTCATCATTAAGTATTTGACGATAGAGATCTCCATCTAATCCTTCCTCAATTTGAATAAGATATCCAACACTTAAATATATAAAACATTCCCAAATAAAAATACTTCTACCTTCAAACTTTACCATAAGTTTCATATATCTATCATTTAGCGACTCACCATCTCTTTTCTAACAATATTTCTTACCATCAGACCCAAATATTTGAAATTTGGATTCGTCTGACCAAATAACTTTTTTCCAATCTTCAACAGTCTAGTTTTATATTTTGTTGCAAACTCTAAACGTTTTTTTCAGTAAGTTTTAGATAATAGAAGTTTTTTGCACTTTACCCTTGAATTTAGACCATTTCTTTTAAGAGTTCTTCTAATTGTATTAGCACTAATCTCTATTTTTTCATTAACTTTCAACGATTTTTGAACATCAACGGCCGTTGAACATTCATTTACCATAATTTTATGTACAATTTTTCTCTTATCTTTTTCTGTTAATAGACAAAGTTGACCTTTAAGTAGTTTATTTTGTACTGTACCTGTCTCGTCATATTTTTTCTTTAATCTTAGTATTGTTAAAGGGTGAACATTATTATAACCTTAATGTAACAGGACCTTGAACAATACTGATACTAAGGTTGCCTATCTAAATCTCTCCAAAATTCTATGATTAGTTTCTCCAAAATTTTACTATAGTTTTATTATAGTTTTGGCAAGGTTTTAGCAGTTTCAGCATTTATAATAAGTTTTGTTAGATTTCGCTTTTTTCCAGAGTTTCGCCAACTTTTTAATAAGACTTTCATATAGTTTTAGCAAAGTTTCACCATTTTGGCATTTCGCCAACTTGCCAAAACCTTCTAGTTTCTCCAGCAACCTTAACTGATACAACTCACATTTGAGTTTGCGTAGAGTTTATATTAAAATTTTTTAAAAGTTGCGTATTATAGGAGTATTTTCAAAATTTCGTTATCCTACATACCTCTGTTTTTAACATTCAATTTTAACAAAATTTATATTATTAGATTCGTCTTGATAAAAGGATTCTAATGATAGTAAAATTGAATTTTTACCTTCAATATTGATAGAGTTATGTTGTAAAATGTATTTTTACTTTAGTATTTAAAGTTTACTTGTGAGTTATATTAGTATTATTCGGGATCCTAATGCAACTTGACAATAGCTATAGCCTTCTTCAAGTAGCGTAATGGCCTTAATTCTATCTGGATAAATTAAGATGAGTAATAACAATCGGCTAATTCCTCAGCAAATATGATAGTAAAATGTTGGTTTGAAAATCAAATTCAATGTAGTAGAAGGTGGTTAGAAAATCAAATCATTGGCAGATGATATATATATATATAGTGCTACGTATAGCTGGAAAATGAGCAGGGTTTTACAAACAATATGCAAGTAATTAAACTTGAAGGTTTGATTTATTTTTCTTTATTTTAAATGTTTTCATACTTTAACAACTGCTTTTCAAATAGAATGTTTTAAAAACTTTCTTAGTAGAGAGGCGAAAGGCATAACTCATGTTACTCTTTGTATGAGATATCAACATGGCCGGCCATTAGATAATACACTTAATGAAATCATAATTTTAGACCAATATATCAATAAATTTTGGAAGCTCTCACTAATTTTAGTTGTTGACTCTAAATGTTTTAATATATGTAAATTTGAAATTTAATGCTCATATGTAATTTATGATAATTTATGATTAATTAAATGGTCACTTAAATTGGTTCACAAAGATAGTATAAGAAGGCTTAATCAACTGTAAACTTTAATTACAATCTCCTCAGTTGAGAACTTAAAATTATAATGAAAAGGATCTTTGTCTTCTTGATTAGTCCATTTCTTAATAGAATCAATTGTGATTTGAAAATCCGAATGGTTCTCATTCCATCATGCAACAAATTTTCAGAGTGGTAAGTACTTTCGTCTTGAGATCAAACATGTATTTGGGATCAGGAAATTCATGAATTTCTTCGTACATTCTCTTGAGCGAAACCTAATTTTAAAACGAAATATGAACAGTTAGTTTAGCAGTCTTCAAGAAAACTTTCTGAATCAGAATCGATCAAATACAATACGGATGTTATGTTTAATTGTTAACGCTTTAGACTCTCCAGAATCACTAAATCATCGTCAGGCAAGTAGTAGGACAAATCATCCTCTAAAAATCAATTCTAAAAATTTCAATATTTAATAACATCTGAAAAAAAAACTATTGTACTCTCAATACCTTGTATCTGATTCTTGTTAGTTAAATCCATAAAGTTATTTTGATCAGTTTCTACAGATACAGTATATTTGAGCTTTGATGTTCATTTTCACGTTATAAGATGAACGTACAACTTGTGGCTTTGTGTAGCATCAAATTGTCTTCGAGGCTGTGCAATAGTATAATTACTAGGGCTCCAAACTTGGAGAATTCATCGAAAACGACTGGTCATTATATGATGATTGGAGAAAAATAATAAAAAATCAATGTATGTTATTTTTATTTAAGCTGAAAAAACTTAGATACTAACAAAAGGTCGATTTCGAAAAGTTAAAAGAAAGCGCACAGCTCAGGCCACATTCATGCTCAATTAGACAATCTTGATGTAAGGGGTAAGTTAGTTATTTTATCGATTTTCTTCATGAGCAACAATTGATATTTTTTGCTTGCTTAGAAACGAACTGATGAAACCTTGTCAGTATTCAGTAATACCGAACGAAGAGGCCAGAGTAGTAACAATAATACGTATCAGCAGGGAGGAAGTAGGAAGGGAAGGTGTATCCGTTGGATATTGTTTCCTGTATAGGAAGGACATTATTTCATCATCTAATGTTGGTTTAGCTCATTCATAGATCTTCGGCTAAGTTCAGAATTCTTATTTTCTCTGGATCAAAATTTACAGGATCATCATAAAGTTTTTGAAGGGATAGACAATGATTATGTTATAAATGAAAGGACTTCTTTAATGCTGACCATGGACATCAAGGATGGTGCGAAGTGGTTCGAAGTATAGTAATTTGGGATAAAGATTTAGAACGTTTAAAAGATACGTAGTGGTTGTTAAAGGAGACACTGGGGCGACTGTAAGTTGGAAATTATAGTTAATTTTATTCCGCAAAATTCATTTCAAACTACTTATACTATAGTGTAAACTGTAAAGGCCTTTGTTAGATTCATTGAACCCACTGAGAGATCAACTTTGGATAGACCTCGTTTACACTGAAATTATATTTTTGCAGCTGACTCTCTTTAAGAAATAAAAGATATGTTTAATAGTAACCTATAATTTATTTATATTATTTTCTTTTTTTGTTTGTTTTAGTAAAATGATATTAAATTATTAAGACAATTAAGACAATTAAAATTTTTATTAAAAAATACGTAGTTAAAAAATTAATACATTTCTTTCTTTCTACAATTATAAATTTAGTAGTAGTAACAATAATAAAATAACATAACTTTAATGTTTTTAAGATAATCTTAGGCTTTTCTTTCGACAGAACGTACAGTAGGATGCATCTGTAATCCTATTATTTCTGGATTAAAACTTACTGGATGCATCTTTCTTAAAAGAAGTATCCTAATACTAGCATGAATCAATATATATACACCAAATGCAATAGGAATTAACCAAAATAAAGGACTAAGCGTATAACTTGTATTAAATGCAACGTTAAATGGTTTAATATACACAATGCACATGCCCAATCCTGCACCAAAAAATATTCCAATAAAACTGCGAGGATTTGAGAACATAAATTTACCAAATGGAAACCGGTGTCTAGCTTTACAAGCAAATAAATTGAATATTTGTTGAATCATGATAGATAAATATACAATAGATTGTGCTTCGAAATAAGCTGTAAGTTGCTGATCCTTAGTTATTACTTGATTATGAATAGTTGTATAATCTTCTGCTCTATCTGTAAAATAATATTTTTCAGGTACATCTTGTTGCATTATTCGTGCATCATATGGAGTAATACCATGATGATTCAAAACAACAAAATATGCGACCAATGCACCAATAGCTTCTATAACACCAATTTCTAAATATGCCCAGGAGAGAAGATTTCCATCAACTAATAATTCTTCATCAGTACTTTCAAATAATTCAGCCCAAAAACTTGCTGTAAAAGGTTTTTTCATATTGTGCAAGAAAATTGAAAGCTTTGAAGGAGGTATGGGTCGACCTTCTGAATCTCTAACGGTTGGCGTACGGTTAAGAGCAATACGACGCACACGTTGTATTGAACTAGAAGTAACAGGCTTTCTAGGAGGTAAACTCATAAGACCTCTCTTGCTTTCAGGTTTATCCCAAGCGAATGTAAGAGCTAAAAATAATTCAAATCCTAAATCTGTTACTAAGATAAGGATTGGTGTTAACGGTAATGGAACGGGTACTACAACGAATAATAATGAAACAACAACTTCTGGAGTTGAATGAGAAATAGTGTATTGAATAGACTTTCTAAGATTTGCAAAAATGAGACGACCCTCTTCAATACCCTTTACTGTAGAAGCAAAATTATCATCCATTAAGATCATAGCAGCCGCTTCCTTAGAAACATCAGATCCAGATTGATTCATAGCAATTCCTAAATCAGCTTTTTTCAAAGCGGGAGAATCATTTACACCATCACCAGTCACGCCAACAATATGACCTAAGGATTGTGCATGTTTAACAATTTCAAGTTTATGTGAAGGAGAAGTACGTGCAAAAATAATTTCATCTTTAGAAAAGATGGTATCCCAATCATTTTCACTTAAAGAATCTATTTGTTCACCATGAATTACAACCGCATTATATTCATGTTCACGAATTGACTCAATAGGTCGACCAGTTCTTTTAGCAACAAGAGGTTTGGTGTCTGATATCATTAAATTAATTTTTCGACCAATTGACTCGGCGGTCAAAGGGTGATCCCCAGTCACCATCATTACTCTAATACCAGCACGACGACAACTTCCAATAGCTTCACGAACACCATGTTTTGGAGGATCTTCTAGTGAACATAATCCAACAAAACAATAATCTCCAGTTGGATAATTTTTATCTTCTTTTTTAAATTCATAATTTTCAGGATATTTATCACTTGGTAACAATAATCTTGCAAAAGCCAAAACTCGATGTCCTTTTGAAGCCATAAACTCATACATTTCATCATATTTTTTTTTATGTTCATCAGTTAAAGGAATTGCATCGTTATCTGATAATATCGTAGAACAAAGTCTAAGAACTCGCTCTGGTGCTCCTTTAATATATAAAGTTAAATCACCCTTATCATGTTTCTTTTGATGAATCGTTAATGCCCATTTTGTTTCAGAGTTGAAAGGAATTTCAAAAACTTTTGGATATGAATTAATAAGTCCATCATAATCATCCACATTTTGATAGGCAAATCTTATTAAACCAGTTTCAGTAGCATCACCAAGAATTGCACGTTCATTAAATGGAATATCAGTACGATCAAATTTAGCACGGGAACATAAAGAAGATATATGAATAACTTCCTGAATACCCGTCACACTTGGATCAAAAGGATTATTTTCGGATTGTGCACTTCGAAATGCAGAATACAAATTTAAGGAAGTCCAAATATAAGTTACAGTCATTTGATTTCGAGTTAAAGTTCCAGTTTTATCTGTAGCCAAAAGGGTAATTGCCCCAAGTGTTTCGACACCCTGAAGATCCTTGACGAGAACATTTTGTGCTGCCATCCTTTTTGCTGCTATAGTTAAAAGTATAGTAACAGTAGCTGGCAATCCTTCGGGTACCCATGCAACAAGTACAGAAATAGCGAAAGCCACGTTGGCAGTAAGATTATTTGGCATAATCCTCATACCAATTCCGAAAAAAATAACACCGCATAAAATGGCAATAGTAGCTATAATTTTTACGAATTTATCAATTTCTATTGCTAAAGGTGACTTATTCTTTTCTTCCCCTGCAGTAAGACCAGCAATTTGACCCAATACAGTATGATCTCCAGTTCTGATAACGATGCCATAACCTTCACCTGATACTACCAATGTACCATTAAAGCAAAGATTAGTAGCTTCTAATGGGTTGCTATGAGTATTAGTTTTCACTCTTTCTTGTGGTTCTGATTCACCAGTAAGAGAAGAATTATCTACTTTCATATCAGTTGCTGAAAATATAAATAAATCTGCGGGAACTTTATCTCCCATCCTTACAAAAACTAAATCACCAACGACTAAGGTAGATGCTTGAATTTGTGTGAGTTTACCTTCCCTAATAACATAACATTGTTGTGGGATCATATTTAAAAATGACTCTAAAATTGCGGCCGATTTTTGTAATTGATAAAATTCAATAAATGCGTTCAAAAAAGCCACTCCAAAGAAAATAGCACCAAGGTAAGTCTGAAAATAAAGAGAAGAGAAGATTGTTATTATTTATACAAATCCTTTTGATAATTAAAAAAAATATAAATAAATAACTAACATTGGGTTGATTATTAGCTGGATCAATAGCAAATAAAATATACATCAGAATACCAGCAAGAATTAATAATATGTTGAATAAAGTCATTAAACATTCAAAATATTTCAATATGGGATGTTTCCTCTTAGGAGGTGAGAGAATATTTGGACCATGATCTTCCAATAACTTTTTAGCTTGATTAATATTCAATCCTCTAGAATCTGATGGTTTATAAGTATTAATATCAACATGATATCGTTCGGCGACTTCTTCGGGCTTAAATAAATGTTCATCCTATATTATTGGAAAATAAATGAAACGATTAAATGATAAGAATAATTGATAAGAAATAAATGATAAGAACGAATTAAAACAAAAACCATTCAAAAAGATGGATATTTACAATGTCTACATGTTTCTTTTTAGAATCGCCTTCTTTGGTTTCTTTCGTAGCAGGTGGACTTCTTGTAGAAGGTTCTACAGTAGATGAATTCGCCTCGGATTTAAAATGATCTGGTTTTTGTTGTTCAGTGAATTGAATCTTTGGTTGTGATGAAATTTCACTAATCTCATTATTAGATTTTTCAGAAATTTCAGGATTATCCTTTTTAGAATTATCTGAATTATCATTTGTATGGGTTGTCAAGGTTGTCTTTTCGGTAGTCTGAGCTACAGTAGGAGCTTCGACAATTTTACCATCTACTGGCTTCTCTAATACAATACTTTGCTCTGTAAGGACACTTGGTGATTCTTCATAGTTAACAGAAGTAGGAACTTCAGTTTTCACTGTTTCAACAGTTATAGTGGTTTCGGTAATTTCTTCTGGAGTACTCGAAGTTACCACTTCCTGATGAACGGTAGGTTCTGAAGTTGAGTTTCCTGATTCGCCCGACATGATATAATTGATATTATTTCTTATATGAGAAAAACAAAAAGCTTAAAGAAAAAAAAAAAATTTCATATATTAAAATACATCAGTACATATTTCTTTTTTATTAAAACGCGAGAGGAGAAAGCGTTTGGACTCTTAAAAAGCAGGGAGGAAGAATGATTTATATAAAATTTGACACATGTGGTGTAATAATTAATATGTCGGCGAATTGAATCGTATCAATTATGTACTTTATCTATACCTCAAATGATTTAATGATAAAAATGTCGTACAACATTTCATATAAACTAACGATAGCATTTGAAAATTTCGGGTTAATTTCTTGATTACAGATTGAGGGCGTAAAAAATTTGGCAAAAAAAAAAACTTTGTCCGACAAATTGATAAACGGAAAAACTCTTGGCAGTCCATTTTTATCAAGTTTTATGCAAAAAAAAAAAATTTCGGATCAAGTTAACAAATTATTTTTTTTTTTTTT